GATAATAAAATATTACATTGAAACAAAGGCTAAAAACGGAGCCTGAACGCAAGGTAATTAAAAAAGTCACGCCTTTTTGGAATGTTTATATTGTTTAGTGCTTATTGGGCCCATAGCCCACCGGTGGGCTTTAGGCTTTGTGGGCTTTGCGGCGGTCTAGCCAGGCCTACAACATTCGCAATTCCCTGACCTAATGGTCCAATTGTTACTTCAAATCCTTCGTGTTCAATCTCCGGATGACCGGGGCATAGCGCGTCTACGCGCTCCGAGTGATATGATTTTAGCTGTTCGAAGGTCATGGCCTTGTATCCTGTGAGATGCAGAAAGGAGTATTAGAAGAGGCAAGTGTGCCCTATAGGATGTTATTTTAGTATATATACCTCCATAACTCTACACCGATCGCAGCCATACCAATAGCACCACTGACACATAATCAGCTTGTGCCTAAACCAAGATAATGTCGCGACGACCATACCCGGGGGTACCCGCCATTATAAGAGCCATACAGAGCTGAGCAATAGGTGATATGGATGTTCAAAACTGGAGGGGAAGCTCATTTAAATATTGGGAGTGGTGATGCTTAATATTTCCTAATTAAGCGATCACCCAGCACCGACTCCACTCCTGGGTAAGCTAGCAGCTCCATCCACACCCAAACAGGTAGTTTGAGCCACAACTTACTAGATCAAGCATTCTTTGGGCTCACATGGCGGCGTCTTTAAAGATTGGAAGTCGCTCACTTTTGTGAAGTTGCACAGAAAACACACAATGACTCCGGTACTTATAATCAGCGAAACGGCCACGGGTCGTGAGAACAGTGGGCGATCGCGTTCGCCTCCAAGTCTCCTATCCCAATCCATCATTTCAGGTGACCGCAGACCACAAGCTGATATCTGTCGACACGCCTATTTACACGCCGAAACCAGGTGAGGTCTTGGTTCATATCAAAGCAACTGGAATTTGCGGGTCTGATATTCACCTCTGAAATACCGGACACATTGGGTCGTTGGTGTTTGAAGGCGACTGCATCATTGGAAATGAGGCCTCGGGTATCGTCCTGCAATGCAGCGAGGGGTCAATCATTTGAAGCCAGGTAGAAGTGATTCGTTTCAGCTTGAGGAGTTCTGTGCTGATGGTTGGATAGGTGACCGAGTTGCCGTCGAACCTGGTGTTCCCTGTGAACACTGCTTCCTCTGCAATGAGGGACGTTATAACCTGTGCGAGCATGTTCAGTTTGCCGGCATTTACCATTTTGAAGGTACCATTCAGCGCTACAAGAACCACCCTGCGAAGTGGCTACACAAGCTCCCCGCAACGTCATTTTTGCAGAAGATGCACTTCTCGTTCCACTCTCAGTGGTGATATACGGGGTCAAGTTTGCTGGTCTTTCGTTGGGCTGTGGTATAGATAGTTGTATGCGGTGTAAGCCCCATCGGAGTGATTGCAGCACGTGCCTCCGGTGCCCATTCTATCATAGTGAGAGATCTAGAGCCTCTCGACTGGCCTTTGCCAAAGATTTTGTCCCTTCATGCATTACCTATGAGGTAGACCGTACAAAGGATTTGAAGGGAAATGCAGAGGCAATTCATGCTCTCTTCGGGTCAGGCGAATATGTTGCCACGGAAACCATACTCGAGTGTACCGGCGTGGAAAGCAGTGTGTACACTGCCGCATACACTGCACGGCGGGGAGGCACGGTCATAGCTATTGGTGTAGCAATAGCGATCATGAAAAATTTACCTTTTATGCATACTTCACTCGCCGAGGTGAGTTGTACTGGGGTCCCGGTGCAGTGAATATTTCTTGCCTCTTCTGCTGGATTGATCTCCGGTTCATCAATCGCCACCGTGATACCTGGCCGCTAGCAATTGCCTGGCTAAGTGGTGGCATCTTGGAGCTGAAGAAGCTTGCGTCCTCATGATGCGCTCCACTTTTGTGCTGACACTCGAAACAGTAGCATCAAGTGTGTTGGTGATCGATGAGCAGGAGGCTTCTTTAAAGATGTCGTAGGAATACCTGCTTTCGATCGTTACGAATCTGAACGCTGCTGGACTTGGTGCTCGATCGAGAAAATGTTTTTTTGGCGGCGTCTAAGGCAGGCCAATGACAAACCGAAGCAAATAATGGTCAACAATACAAGTCTTGATTTGATACTATATACCAATTCAAGCCAGATAAAATGCCTGCACCAACTTCCAAGCCCCTTGTTCTTTTTACCATTGTGGTTCCTCAAAATGATGACTGACAAAATATCGATTCGATGACGGGGATTGGGTCCTTAGAAGAGTGGTCGCCAGGGCTCAAGAATGTGTTGTGCCCGGTGCAGTCAGGGCCACTGTAGTACGATTAGTGAGAGTCGACTTGCTTCATTGACACCTGACTTACGTGAAGAGACGACATGGCTTTTTTAGAGACACAGTAAGAACATCTCTGTGGCTTGTTAGTCTCTGTTGAAACGTAATGGCTGGAAATCAATCTTACTCTTCCTCGATCGCATGGCAATCATTCAATGGCACATCGATACCACGGCTCTTGTCGGCTGTTTCAATGCCCACCTGCATGGTCCTGTTAGCAATAGAGTATAGACTCAAGGAAGACCATGCCTACAATGGTTCTTTTGGAGTTCTTCTCTGCCGATACAGAGAGAAGCATCAAGCTTAGAAGCGAGAGCTGTTTGAGACCGTACATCACGCAGATGAGAGGCAGAGACCCAATAAGACTAGATTTGAAGGTTAAAGATATTCAACAGTGTCTGAAAGTCTAACTCGAAAGGTCGATGACTCTTCCTGCAAGGAGATGCCATCTGTCTTTTCCTTCCTCGTTATATCCCTTGCGTCGGTTTTTCATGCAAGTGCCATCCAGGGGTTACGGCCAACTGGGTTGTAAACTCACACCCCTTTCTTTGTAGTGATCTCCCATGTACTCCGTATGTTGTACTTCGTACACAAGTACGCAAAGATTCATAGTGAAGGATCTGTCCTAGAGAATGTGACTGCTAATTTAAGCTGTACAGAGTACATCGTAGGTTGTGATCGAGGTGCAGTGTTGATTTATGAGTACTCGTGAATCTTGGGTAGGGGGTGTGGTGGGATTCTGAAGTGTATGAACATTTACAGTAGATGATGTGAATTTTTGTAATTAACATGAGTTGATTAATGAATTCTTGTGGAAAAGACATCTCGAAGTGTCCGAGGAGTGTCCGAGGAGAAATGGAAGTGCCCAGGTGAGATGTTTCTTGATTTACTCCAATCTCTCCCCGCTTTCATCTACACTTCCATCTTCATTTCCACTTCTTCGTTGCTCTTTTTTCTTCGTGTTTTCTCGATTACTCTCGTCTTCACAGTTCAACATGGACTCAATATTTTGATGAATTAATTAATTTCCTGTGAACTGGGAGAGCTATCGCATGTCTCCAATTACACCATGAACGACTGATTGCAACCCGACGCGACAACATACAATTCCACTAATGCTGCATTTGCTTCTCCATTGGGCGCTACTAACTGGGGTGATGGATTCTCCCTTGATCCAGCCTTTTTAGCATCTTAGGAGGAGCTACGATGTATGCTTTTTAATCAGTCTGCAGCTCCGACCCGCGCACAGAGCCCAGATATCCCGGAACAAGATGCCTCACAATTGCATGACAGGGGGCGAACACCAACGCGTCCTGTGCTGTCCAATTTCCGTCGCATTGAGTACTTGAAGAGCTATGTTGGGTAGGTGGGACCATGGGTAAGCGATATGACTTGTGAGGTTCTCAACAATCGCTAATCCCCGACCGCAGCTCGATATGTTCGATTCGCAATGTACCTTTCGACTACACATTCCCGCACTATCCCGATCATTCCCCGCCCTGATGAATGCGATCCTCGCGATATTCGCCCGACAAATGGAAAGGAAGAAGGGGATTCAAGACTCATTTGACAATCTGGAGCTATACCAGGAAGCAATTTGCCTGCTGAGCCCGCTATTGCAGATGCACGGTCCTGAAGTCGTCGCCGTTTGCGTGCTACTCTGCTGTGTTGAGATGATGTCTGCCCGCGTGCAGGATTGGCGCCGTCATTTGTAGGGGTGTGCGGCACTTTTTGAGACCTTCGAAATGAATGGGTTCAGCAGCGGCCTTCTACAAGCAGTGTTTTGGTGCTACGCACGCATGGGTAAGAGTCCATATTCATGGTCAACTTACAAAGGGTCATCACTAATTCAGGATAACTAGACATATGTGGCGCGTTGATCTCTGGTGGGACACAGAGCACTCTTCTTCGGCCTAGCAAATGGCTCGCACCTGCATATGCCCGGGGAGAGCGCGGCTTCGAAGAGCTGTGCAGTAGCATCTTCGTGATGCACGCCAACTACGCTGTATACCTTTGCGCACAGTCGTGCGAGCTGGTCGCTAATTGCACTCAGTTTGTGGATCTAGCGGTTCGCAATGACTGCACCGGCGAGGCCTTCAATCGCCGCTGGCTGCAACTCTGGAATGGTTTGCAGCACTGGCTTGACAGCCGACCACCGGAGTTATTACCAATCTACACAACAACGACCAAACCATTACCCCGTGTCCTTTTTCTGCAATGGACCGCTATATCCTCGAATCAGCTATACCATACGGCATGCATTTTACTGCTAAACTTGAAACCTAAATTTATCAAGCTACAGCTAACACCTATAATATCTATGCTATGGCATGCGAGCCGCATTTGTGGAATTTCGCTCGCCAATCCGCGTCATGGATGCTTGAACAACGCCATCCAGCCGCTATGGATTGCAGCTCGTCTGTTCAGCCATGTGTCTGAACACACCATTATAATCGATATAATTCGTCGTATTGAAGCCGATACTGGATGGGGCGCTTGCTGGCGCATCCACGACCTAAAACTCGCCTGGGGGTATCAAGTCTCACGTGCAGACCGGAATATTGATGGACAGCTGGTACCGACTTGAATGGTCTCCCTCCCCAGAGATATCATTTACGATGTCTCATCAAGGAGGCACCACTCCGCTCATAGGCTCTGCAAGCTGTTGTGTGCGTTCCACCCCGACACCGTACGTATGCGGTCGAATGCATGCACAACTTCATGTTGTTGCGACTCATGTGTCATCCAGCGAGCTGCCAACAGAAAGGATGCCAGGATATATGGATCCCAGAATTCCCGACTATCATTGTGGAGAGCGATACTGCATATCCGCTGCGCATGCCACAACGGCGACATGGCAACGGAGTGGAAGTCGGCGATGCGTGCAGTGCGAGGCCGATTGTTTAATAAAACCAACATGGCCGTATTGTATAGCTGGTTGCCAAACAAGCCTGCTCCATGGGCAAATAGAACACTGGAAATTATCAATCACATTCCAAATGATCTCTCGTTGGACTTACCTGTTCTCCGGGCGAAGCTTTTCTATCCTCCGATTTGAACCATATTGCGCCGTGTCCTCCAAGCCTTTAGTGCAAACCCCTGGAGGTTCCGATAGACTGGCATTTTGGAGTCTCTTAGCAGCACGGGGTGAGATGGGTGAGCAGTCGGCTACTGGCATACTTATCGCTTGCAACGGTGTCACAATTTGGAAGAGTGGACCCTCGATCACGGATGATCCAGTGTACTTGGACAAGATCTTTCTGTGTAGACTTGAGGTGCAGCTTTGAGTCGTTGCGATTTAGTGTCGCAAAGAAATATACCAGACCAAAGGATGATTTTGCACCACCATAAATAGCAACCGATCGCAGTTGTGGGTAAGGGGATTCGACCTCGGGTACTTTCAGTAGCTGATATCCCTCGTGTTCTCTACATCGATTACCTAGGGACACTTCAAAGCAATACTGTGTTATAGGCAGGAACATTTGCCAATTTTCGGAGTTACTGTGTACTTTTGAACAAAGCAGACGTTTAAGATCAAGGCCACGTTATTGATGTATTAAAGCCTCAGACCTCTCTCCTCTTAATTACCTCACAGATGCTCTGCCATATAATCTCCCAGAATCATCCAATCTGGAATGTCCGGCATTGCTGCCCCAATCATATCACCACCATCTCTCGCCTGAAATGGCCACTCAGGCAATGGACCTTCGTTGATGGATTCGGATATTTCGTCAAGATTTGGAACACTTGGGGTCATGCGCCCTCTCTGATCATTCTTGTTTTGCTGACCTGCACGTTGTATTCTTGACGACGGTCTCCTTTGTGCGGGGTGCCCTTCATTTGCTTGGATGTCTTGGGGGATAGCCAAATTCCCAAAGTTCATTGCCTTGTCTCCTCCTGATGAGCAGCCAAAATCGAGGATTTCCCACATGAGTCCCTCGTCTTCTGCGGACATTCTAGGCATATTCGAAGGGGTCGGCATTTTGGATAAAGCGCCCGAGAAACCCTCTTGATTGTAATAAAGTGATCCATAATTTTGATGACGAGCGGCAAGTTCATTCACTTTGTTAACCTTGACCAAAATAATCAGCGATTTTGATTTGATATTTTGCAAGCAGACTTACCAGAACACTCATATTTTCCCAATACACAGACAGCTCCGTCATGAAGTCAACAAGAATCTGAAATTCTTTGTTGAGCAAAAGAGCAATTTGTGGATTTTTGTTGCCGGTGTGCTCGAGCTGAATTGTTGCTGCGATCGCAGCCAAATATCCCAGAAACGGATCACAGGTCTCAAAGTTGACATCTGACATTTCCCTTATGAACCGAACTATCCATCGAGAGTGGAGGAGTGATGTCTCGAACGATTTTTGCAGAAATGTTGCAGACAGATTTCCATTAAAGTTGCGAAGCTTGGTCATGATCACGAATGGGTGGTGCAGTAGACCCTGGATTGAATGGAAAAGGAATTGGACACACACCCAGGTCGAGAGGTATGTACGTGGCCGTGGATCTTCTCGGGCGCAGCTTTTGAAATCCACGTTTATATATCGATGAGCATCTGCAAAGTGTGTTTCGAATTGCAACCATTCTGACTCGAGGACCGCGAGAGCTGATCCGGTTTGCCAGGGAGGTAGCGAGCTCTCAGCAAAGGGTTCAAAGACATACTCCGTGGATTTTCCCCACAAAGAGAACAGCCTCAGGAGACATACGAGAATTCCATGATCAACTTTCTGCCCTTGTTTTCCAGGACCGTCATGCAACGACCCGTGGGTCAGTGGCCCATTTTCACTGAACAGCGACTCCGTCTCTAGAGCAGGAAAGGGAAGTGTGAATTGTTTGTCGGAGAGGGACAGTGAATAATTCCGGGAAGCACTATAAGTGCGATCGAGCATAAAAAAGGCCCAAGTAATGCGCTTTCTCGTTTCGATCTCTGGCTCATTCGTGCGATAGGAGTCCTCTTCTTTATTCAACCCTACAGATTGAATGACACGCAATCCAAGGGCAACCGACGCATACGCTCGATGCGCTTTTCCATCGGCAAAATCTACCTGGGCCATGAGAAATGTACCCTGGAGAAATGAAAGGCCCATCTTGCCATCTTTGTACTGACTTGACAAAAGGTCCCAGGCTCTCTCTGCGAATGTTTTCCCATCAGGTCTATTCTCATGTAAAGGTCCACGAGATCGTCGAGGCAGACGGGAAGTAAGGGCCACTAATGCGAATGCGACCTCTGGTGGCAATGAGCTGGTATATCTCAACAGCCAGTATTTTGAAAAAAGGCAATATGGCTGGTCATGAAAGTACGTAAGGTAAGTTTGCACTTCCTGCTCAATAAATGCAAGCGGAAGATCACTTCTATTTCATTTCCATTAGAGATGTTTGTGATGACCAATGAGGAGGGAAAATTCCACACTTACTCTGGAGAGGCCAGCGAGTGACTCTTTGGGCAATCCATTATTTCGAGGTCATCATAAGAAGCCTCTTGCAGCTCACGATCATCATTGAGCTGGGTATCACTCGATACTTCTCGCAATGAATTCGACCTTGGTAAGCCTTCTCTATTTCGAAAGATCTTTTAATTAGCAACCCCTAGGGCATAGATATGAAGTCTCTTGCATACTGGAGTAAAAGTGCCATCATATCTAGTCTTTCTTCGATGCGCTGAAGCCTCCCAGAGCTCGAGATATCCCCTTGGATCTGATAAAGTTAGCATAGCCCAAAACATCACCTCCAATCCAATGGTGGAACTAAGAGAGAACGCATTCATACCTCATTGATGCTACTGTGTTGTGTTTCCTGGCTCTGCGCACGAGCCGAAACCGAGTGGGGTTTCACACGAGATGGTTGCGGTCCGTATGAGCAGTGTTGCCCTAGCCTATGGCATAGCGAGCATGTTGGTTTCTCGCCTGGGCATCGTGCCTTCTTCCGACTAGCGAGATTGCATATTAGAAATGAGTACATGTACACCCTGGCGATCTCGGGATTTTTTTTGGGGGGGCTTGGCACCTACCGACAGGGACCACAAGCTTGCCGGGTTCGCTTTAAAGAAACTTTGTGTATGGTGTAGTTATCACCCATTGAGCTCTTAATAGGCCAATTGGCAAATTTTTTTTTTAAAAAAAAAAGAAGTCTTATCTCTCGCCGATCAAGACAGTTAGAATGGTGATGTTGGTCAAGTGGTCCCGTCCCGTGCGGGGTACTCGGGTGATTTTGGCACCCAGTACGTAGTAGACTCAACATTATACATATGAATATATACATATTTCAACACTTCAATTATTCGATTCTCCAGTTCATACACTATCACATCTGGAATGTCAATTTTCACAAAAACACACTTCCAACTCTGGAGAAGATAAGAGAACTTGCAGCTTCCTATAAACTCATGGGCCGCTCACGTGATCGGCTGAGATCTTATGCGGGGAAGTTTTATATCAAACGCATTACCCTTCACCTTCAGCCTATTCGTCCATAATTTGATATTTATATCTATTTTCGACCAAGTTAGGAAAATATAAATCTAAATATTCCATTTTGAGGTTTGAGTCTAATCTTTGTCGCAGCGATGTACCACATACCACCGTGGACGATCTAGCCGGTCTTGGAATATCAAGTGTTTATCTTCATCCTCTCCGAGCATATCCTTTCTCTTATTGATTTCACAAGCCCGGTAGGAAACCCGACCACCCGAGTGGCGTTTATCCAACGCGGTAATTGCACCCGTCGACCGATTTCCATCTGATCGTCGTGGCCTAGCACGGTCTACCGGATGTTAAAAAACGGTCGGGCGATGCACGGCTTACCCTCCGCTCCGATCTTGTGATCGGTCGAAACCTATTGATTGCATATCCTTATGGGGAATTATTGACTCATGATCATAGTAGCTGTCATTGGGATCTAGATGCCCTGTGCCTATATTAAGGAACTCGCGTTCCGCTCTAGATGAAGAGTTGATAGAGTTTCAAGACAATAAACACTAGATTTCGTCCCTCGGATAATCTTTCTATATACTTATTGTTACTTATTCTTTGGCCTTTACAATGTCGACGTTTAAGGATTCCTTCAAGCTTGGGGAAACAGAGGGACTTCCCACCCCCGCCAACGATAATTCCGCAGTTCACCCTCTCCCTGCCTCGTGGTATTCTTCGCCAGATATGCATGAACTTGAACGACGCGCTATATTCAGTCGGAAATGGCTTCTGACTACACACAAGCTGCGTTTCCCTAAAACAGGCGACTGGCTCCGATACGACATCGCCGGGTACGCCTTTATTTTGGTGAAGGATCGTGAGGGAAATGTCAATGCTTTCCACAACGTCTGTCGACACCGTGCATTCCCAGTGGTTACCGAAGAGGGTGGCACCTCTCGAATTTTCTCTTGTCAATACCACGGATGGTCCTACGGCCTTAATGGCAAACTTGCGAAAGCACCCGGCTATCAAGAGCTAGAAGGTTTCGATAAGAGCAAAAACGGCCTCCTCCCGATCCACGTTCATATTGATGTCAACGGTTTTGTTTGGGTCAACCTAGATGCCGGCGAGAAGCCTGAGATCTCGTGGGAAGATGACTTCAAAGGTATCGACTTACAGCCACGTTTCGAGGGGTTTGACTTCGAGGACTATAATTTCGACCACGCCTGGGAGATGAGTGGAGATTACAACTGGAAGATCCTGGCAGACAACTACAACGAATCCTACACTCCTTCGCTTTCTAACCTCATCTCATACGCCGTGGACACCAAAGACGGCAAATCCACATCCGAGGAGATTTCCAATGGGCTGAAGACTGCCAGCACTTACTATTTCCCTAATGCTGCTATGACCGTTTCGTAAGTGCAATTGTCTCCTAATGTAACCGATTTGGTGCTAATCGTGTACGCAGGCCGCACTTCTTCTTCATGCAGCGACTTGTGCCTACGGGCCCCACCACATGCTCAGTGCGCTATGAAATCTACCGCAACAAGAACTCTAGCGATGACGATTTTGAAATGATCAACCAAATGTACAAGCGTATGATGTCCGAAAACAAAGATCTCTGCGTTGAAACACAAAAGAATCTGAACACAGGAGTCTCTGTGAATGGTCAACTCCACCCGACGGAAGAGGGATCGGTCGACTTCCAGACAGTCGTTCGTGGGCTGATCGCGGAGCACCATAAGCGGGAAGAGGATACAGGGGAGCAGTTTTGGCCCGCACGACAAAGACTCCCCAAGGAAGAGGCAGTGAGCAAAGAGGATATGGACTTTTGCTCCAAGTTAACAAGTAATGACGGATCAGCTTTGACTGCGGGGGGTTGTTGTGGAGGAGGATGTGGAGGAGGACCTCCCACCATTGCAGCAACAGCACCTGAGACTATGGTGGTTTAATGATGCCCATGATAGCGAACTATTTAGTTATTCTTTTAGTTGATTGCTCTTTTTTTTAGCCTTGGATATATTCTTATTATGAAGATGACATGTTACATGCAACCATGGATGAATACATATCAGTGATCACGAGACAGGTATAAGCATCAAAGAAGGTCATATGAACACTTTGATTTTACACAAGATTTAATTGTTACTATAAAAAGAAAAAGTAACCAATTATATACCAATTATATAGCAAGCGGTAGTATTTATACTTTTCAGGATGACCAGGCCAGTTGGAAGTAGTTCGTAAACGGCCTTCATATCATCAACCCAATATTAGTGGGGGGGGATGGGTGGGGAAGTAAAGAGATAATAGAAAAAGGGATCATTTAACCTTTTTCAGTATAAATTTACATTTGACATGTACATTCATGCACGTTCATGCACATAGATTAGGTCGAACCTATGGGGGAAGAAGAAAAGAGAAAAAGAGGAGAAAAGCCTCAAAACACGGTCAAATGCCGTTTTTTCCCCCTCCCAATCTTCTCCAATTATCCAATTACTCCAAACCTCTTGAATTTTGGTACTTTATCTCTCGTCATTATCTCCCTATCCCTATCCCCTCTTTTAATCTGCTGAGTCTGGTGACGATCTTCCAAGCTTGTCTATCTAATCTATGTAACTCCCATACCCCGCTAAATCCCTCCCTTTTTTTTCTTATTTTCGTATCTCCGTATTTTCTTATTTTCCCTTCAATGATGCCACGAGAGAGCACTCGCGGAAGGTTGCGTTCCCATGAGGCCTGTCTCAACTGCAGGTAAGATAATATAATTGTCTATATATGGGTGGAACTGATCTCCAACACAGAAGAAAGAAGACCCGATGTCCGGCCGAGAAACCTTCCTGCTCAAGCTGTGTCCGCTTAAATCAGCCATGCCTTTATACTACAATACCCAGAGGGTCCCGGGGAGGGCAATCTGTATGTGTTGGCTTATGATTGTCAGTGGTCAATCATTGACGTGAATTCTTCTTCTTTTCTACAGGACGACAGGCTAGCATTCCTTGAAGAGAAGGTAAATCTCATCTTGAGTGGCAGACCTACTCAAACACTTGCATCAGAAAAGCCACAAGAGACAGGAAATGGAAACTCAGAAAAATGCTATCCTCTCACAACACGTCCACCATCCATTGAACCGAGCACAGTCAATGACCCATTCTTCCTCGGGTTTGGCTACGAGGACTCAACCTCTCACCCGTCATCATCTGCGATCGCCAAAGCTATTGATCTTTATTTTGAATACTGTCATCGACAACCAATTTGGTGTTTTGACCGTGAAGATGTCTCAGACCCCAGTTACCTGTCAGAGGAGCTCGTTTGTTGCCTCCTCGCCTTGACATCACGATTCTCAAGAGATCGTGATCATTTACAACATTATGGGGATAGTGCAAGAAGCCTAGTCATGCTTCGTATGGCTAACGGCACAGTGGAGCTTGAAACCATTGAGAGTCTCTGTCTGCTCTCCTATTCCTCATTTCTAGGTATGAGCCTCAGCCAAGTGAAAGGATTTCAAATATTGATTGTATTCTAGATGGAGATATACACCTCGGTCGCTTCCATCTTGGTCTTGCTCTACATCTTTGTAGGTCAGCAACGCTGGATCTCGAGTCAAGTCATGCCGGCGAAGGTCCCATGACCGAGCGAAAGAAGCGTCTATTCTGGAGTCTCCAATGTCTGGAGCAGTCTTACGGGCAGCAAAATGGGTTTCTCTGTATACCATCAGAAATCATGCGCACCTTCTATGTTGCCTCCAGTGGCGACCGTGCAAAACAAGATGGGACGGAGCCGAAGCCTCCACCGCTACCGATAGATGATCTTGGTTGCTCGAAATCATCCGATTTAGGGATTTGGAGCTTAGCAGCCCACTTTGGTTGGGTCTGGAGCAGAGTGCGAACATATGTCTCCGATTGTGCTCGGAATAGGCTCAAAGAACCCTGGCGACACGATTCCATGTACGCCATGGTGCTCTCCGACCTTACAGAAATTGAGAACAAGCTTTCCCAGTGTCATCGATATGACTCGGTCAAATTCTACGAGCGAACAGCAGAGGAGCTGAGATCGAGCCGAAACTACTGGACCCCATGGCTGAAGCTACAGTTCACTTATCACTGCATTTTGACTGTTCTGAACCATCCTTTTCTCTACATTGTGGCATCACAATACAACGACAATCTGGCAATCCCGAACGCTTTCTGGAGACGGTCATCCGAGTTGGTCTTACTACACGCTACGTGGCTTGTTCGCATGATAGACATGGTATCGGAGAAGAAGATGCGACTGATTGATCCGTTCTTCGGACACGCTGCCGCCATTGCAGCTACCGTGCATCTGTACTATTGCTGTGCTGCGGATCCCCGACTAAAGTACAAATCCAAGGTTGATTTCACAAAATGCCGAAGGTTCCTGAAGAGCTTTGTGTCCTTTTCGCCTGCTTGTGGAATCTTGGTGGGTCTCATGCAACCTAAAAGCAGCTTACAATGCTAACAAATGCACAGGATCAAACGCTGGACAAGATGACTCGAATTGCTTCCGGTTCAGAAAACATCGACCATGATTGGGAGCCCGCGAAGATTCATCTCAGTATACCTTTGATGTGGGATGTTCTTCAAGTCAACTGTAAACCCAAGCCACACGAAGTGTCCACGGGCGGCTTGTTGCATCCATCTTTGACCCCGACAGTCTCTACAGAGGAGGCGGAGGATAGCCCAGCCTCGACTCTAGAGGTTATTGTTGCAATGTCCCCAAATATCACAGTGAACACTGCGGATGGCGGTCAAGCTGCTCACATTCCACCAACCATGCCGCGCATATCTTCCACACCAACTTCTTCTGATCTCGACCTTGGTGAGAAACTCGTGGCGCCTGCCGACAGTTTAATGACCAATACCCCCTGGCTATGGACGGATCCCTCGCAATTTGTTGATATGGAGAACAATGTGGGATACCCGGATTCCGAATCCACCCTCGGAAACATTGATGGATTTTCCACTTGGTGGGACTTTGGAAACTTATAGGAGTAATATGTTCATTGACTTCTACTACGGTGTTACTGTCTTCTCGGGCCGTAACTCTCGTCTCCATCCCCCCGCACTTATTCTTTTGCCCAAAGCCCCTATGCGAAAATACCCTTGTGCGGAAACACTCCTAACAAAACCCCAGGTGAAAACTTGATGCCCACGCGCTCCCGATCAAGTTATGCCGCTGCGACTGTCTTCAACTTCTGCTGCAACGCAGCAAAATTCCGCTTCATAGCGGTTTCGGTAAACTGTGCCCCAGTCACCATCGGATACTTCTTCGAGGGCCCCTGGATCAAAGAATCCTTACAGGGCTGATTGAAGTAGGCAATGCTGTATCGATCGCCATAATAGTCACCAGGCTCACAAGGAGCCTTGACACGATGAAAAGTGGACTTGAACCGGTCATCCGACCAGGACATGAGTAAATCGCCAATATTACACACGATCTCGCCGGTCTTGGCCTTCACCTTGGTCCATTCGTCCCCAATACCGAACTCTGTCACTACCTCGCGACCGGGACAAATTTCCAGCCCATCCTGGCCGTCCCTTTGGAAAAGTAAAGTCAAAAAGTCCCAATCGGCATGTGCCCCTGCGCGATGATACACCTTGCCGTCAGAAACTTCTGGCAACTCAAAGTAATGGAGTAGACGCATAGTGGTTTGCGAGTTCGGTCGTGAGATGCCATGACACTCGATGAAGAATCTTTCCGGGAACCCCAGGCCCCGTGCAAAGCATCGCATCAAACATTCCGATACTCGTTGGGCGCGGTTCATGAAATCGAGAGAGGCGGTCCGGAATCCAGGTAGGTCGTCGTACTTGACCCAGAGGTCATTCATATTCTCGCCGAACTGCAACTGGTATGACTCTTTACAGTCGGGCTGCCCTGTAGACGGTCGGATTTGTGAGTTCTTTTCCCATCCGACATTATTCGGATTCCACGGTACAGCTGCTTTGACGTCGTCCGGTAGATCGAAGAAAGTTTTGGATATCGCAAACATAGATTCAATGTCTTCTTTGGAGATTCCATGACCCGTCAAGGTAAAAAATCCAACATTTTCAGCGGCTTGAATTAGCTGATCAGTGATTTCATCAATACGATCTTCGAAATTGTGCATCGAGATACGTGGAATGACTCGATCAACATATCGGGTTTGAGATGCCATGGTTTTTAACAGTCTAGTAACTTTACATATGTGCAAACGGTGAAGTATGAATACACTTATAGGCCATTCGATGTCACACAAATTTCTTTCACCGTACAATACACATGCATCGTGTTGGGGATTGGCTCGGCTGAGCTGATAAGAATGGCGTAGAGGGTTGCACTCGGATTAACAAGCTAATAAAAGGGAATTTGGAGTACGAAGTACGGAGTACAGTATCCTATCCTTGCCAAACGTTTCAATTAGATGCCATTGTGTCTATTGAAAGTTAAATGCGATTCCAAGACACTCCAAGAACCGTACGGATGCGCAATCTACGCTTTCTAATAGGTCCGAGTCATGGTCGAATCAATGCAGCCCGATAAACATAAACTCCGGAATTCACCGACAGCGCCCTTGAAAAGTCATAAAATTCTTCTGTGTCAAAATGGAGACAAGGTAATTTGTGCACTCGGGTTCCCATAATGCTTGGAGCTCAACAGTGCGATCTCGGACGATGGTTGTCAACGCTGGTCAGGCGAATTCAGATTGTTTTGGGTATCAAATTATATATACTCAATATGTCCACATCTTTATTAAATGTCATATATGTACGCAAAAAAACATGGGCCAACGCTTGGTGCCAAAATAGATAGAGCGTTTGGGGCGCAAGTGGGCTGTATGGTTGATCCCAAAATACCAATGGGCTTATTCAACCTTGCGCACTTGGGTCACAGGTGAACGATATACTCGGCGGCCATGCACAATGTACAAAACAATGGCAAAGATGACTACCGCTCCAAAGACAAGGATAGACCAATTCATATTAACCGGGGTCGGGTTATTGGCGGTTGGGAAGAAGGTGAAAATGATGGCAAAGCATAGCCAAGCTAGTGAGAAGACATTGATCGCCAACCCGAAGATACCGAGCGAAAAGCGTGAAGGGGGAATACCACCTGGTTGAAAACGGACGCGAATGACCGCGGCAATCGGCAAGATGTAAGTGGTGAAAAGCGCAGCGATCATTACAGATGCGACAGCATTGAAAGCCGCAGTAGATCCGATGTTGATCAAGCTCAGCAGCACGGTAATAATGGTCGAGACCAACACAGAGCAGATGGGAATTTGGGTGCGTCGGTTAACGTGGGCCAGATGCTTCGAGAACGGCAAGGCATCATCGCGAGCAAAAGCAAAGGTCTGACGAGAGACTGTCGCAAGAATACCGATCGCGCTGCAAACTTCCATGACAAGAATGATAGCAGCCACAGCATTGGTAGCAGCCACGGAGCCGGTAGCATGATTAACTGCCGGGAGGAAAGAGAATCCACTCGCCGGGGCGAGCACATCCTGCAAGTCACCCATCTTATACAGTAAGGTGATTAGCATGATGAAACCGAGAGCGCCGTTAATCAAAGCGGTCGAAACCATACACCACGGGACCACCAAGGCAGCATTCTGAACCTCTTCGGCTAATAGAGGTTAGCCATCATAACGCCTCAAAAGAAGTAAGACGTTTGACTTACACATATGTGTAGCAGCATCCGGGCCTGTCCAGGAGAAGATGGGAGTCAGCTGGCCGACCAGACAAGCGAGGCCCATGCTCGGCCATTCGCCAGAGTTTGTGAACTCCTTCCAGACAGACTCTCCAGAGGCCTTTCCTGGAGACATCGCCCACATCAGGACGACAACAACAACGAAGCCGAAAAGATGAATAGCAAGGATGAGGCCCTCCATGGGAGGGAGAATCTTGTAACCCCAGGTATTCACCACAGTTCCGACGGCGGCGATAGCGATGGTCAGCAGTGTCCCATGCCAGCGCTCAAAGCCATACACCCAACCAGAGGGATCCGAGTAGTTGAAGACCAGTAGTCCTTGAATCAGAGTACCGCAAAGGTAGCAAATACTAGCAAAAGCCGCCTGCCAGCCTAGCACCGAAAGCCAACCTAGAACCCGGATTAGCGCTAGAGATCGTCGGGTTGTAAATTCGAGGTGTGGGCTAACCGGTGAGATAGCTCAAGAATCGTTGACATCTTGGCCAGGCGAATTCACTGACCCAGTGGTACTGTCCACCGGACGTCGGGGAGCTGGCTAGTCAATCTCCATGCGCGGACAGACAGGTGAGAATCGAACTTACATGGAGGCAATTTCGGCCATGGAGATCACAGCGGCAAAAAATCCCACAAATGATCCAATATACACATAGACCATGCCGGCTCGTCCGCCATCGGTCAGGCCGTAGGTACTCGTGCTGCGGCATTCCCCATTATTCCCAGTGTCCTCTCGTAATATCGCGCGTCCAAAACTCACAGCAGAATTGACTCCCATGTGGCCATCAATGTCGTTGTGAAACCTAAGATCGAATAAAAACGGAAGTTTCTCTATTGTTGATCAGCATTGGCTCCAAGTCCGGGGGGGGATGCGCAACTCACCTTGAACTGTTGGGTCTTTCCTAGGCGCTGCATGTCCCAATCATCCTGGTCGGTCGCTTCGACGACGACGTCTTGGGACACCATATTCTTGTCCGATGCTCCCTTCATGGTGATGTGGATGGATAGCAAAGAAGGGAGAAAAAAGGGTAGACCAAGACCAAGGGGGCCGTGGAGAAAGTCATCAAAGGGAAGGGGGGGGGGAGGAGAAAAGCCCGAAAGTGGAGCCGAAGTTTAATTTCCGGACATCTGCAGGTTTCTACTTTTTACTTGTGTACTCTGTACGGAGTACATGTGTATGTACATATATTTACATAGTTGTATGCAGGTATACTTTAAATATACTAAATAACTGGATTGAATTCGATTATGTATTGTGCCTATGAATATCTTTCTCCATGGAAGGTCAAAAATGGAGTAAATGGAGTCAATGGGGTACAAAATATATACTCGACTCTGATTCGATGGTTATGAACTTCAAAAGACGGCAGGTTTCTTCACCAAAGAGGTCAAAGCCCAATCAAGTCGAATGTCTCATATTTATGTACTTGGCAATTAGGAAGGTTGTTTCTGTACGGAGTACTCCGTACTCCGTCCAACATAGTATTATGATAGGAATACCTACGCTACAAGGTGGTACACAATATTCTCGTTGATATTTGATCTAAATAATCGCTAATAGTCCAAGTACTCCGTACATCGTCCGTTTTACCTGCTAAATATAGCGTGAAATCTGTTTCATTTGATATCCCATGTTCCTCAGCTGCTTCGGGCCGTTCTACGATATAATACCCCGTACTCCGTAGTATCCCTACTGATAGATTGACTTTAAGCTTTCATTTAGAGATAGACATGATTCTAGATAGATAACTACATATATGTTGTAGGTAGAGAGTAGGTATAGAGTAGGTGAACCTAATCCAAAGGCTGATTATGGCTAAGCGTTATTCCAGTCCATGGTTATGCATCTTATTGGCGTTCTCTAGATTATGTGGCTTGCTAAGTGTATATGGACTCCATAATGACATTGTGGGATCTCCGGATTTGGTCGGAGCATAAGTTATGTCTTTAGAATCATTCGGCAATAGCGTTAGATAATATAATGAACCTCCGTGGATGGGATTTTCTGCCAGTTCAGCCAATACGGTTAAAGCCCGAACAGGTTGCCGGGATTTGTAAGCGTGGAAACTTAGGGGAAGGTAAAGATGATCCTTATTATACTAGCTACGGGCCGGAGCTACAGGGGTGACGGTCAGGTGACTAGTCACCTGACGGTGATATCTGCCGCTCCCTAAAACTCGGCCGTCCTCGATCGAGGATTACCACTAGGTACATAAGAAGAAAGAAAAAAAAAATATCATTATAATTATCAACCGACCGAACTAAGGCTCTGTTGTGTTAGAAAGATAAATCCTTAGTGTTATAGGTA